AAAAAATTAAACAAACAATTCTAAATTTTATATTTATTACTTGATTTAATATTGATAAATATATTATCTTTTATATTTATTACTTACTTAACGTATTTATAATTTAAATATAATATTTATCTAAATAAATAAAATATTAATAAGTTATGCATATACAGGTATCTAATACTCATCCCCCTTGCAAGGCCGGTTGAACATAGTTTTTAAAGTCCAGAAGACTAAGGAGTTGTACCTGACCCTATTACATGTAGGCCTTAAATTATAACCTCACGTCTGGCCCAATAAAAGCTTAATGTTCTGCTCCTACTTTATTTCTATTCCGTTTAATTTAAGCCAAAAGATTGAAGCAGTAAGTGGTTAGATAGAAAAGCATCACAATTTGCCATAAAAATTCAAAGTTGATTGCTGTATATGAAATTTCAAAATGGCGCACCGTGATACAAAATAAAAACTGTATCAAAGACTGAATTGTAATGATAGGTCCGAGGTTAAGGATCTCGGATGTACTGCTATAATTTTTTAATAACTGAAGTGAAGCACTTTTTAGTCAAACAGCTACATGACAGTTATGGTGAGTATACTCACACCAGAATTTTTCTTAATTTTTCAGTCCCGAGTTTACCACCTTAAGGGACATGTCACACTCCGATTATCCTGTTAAGCAAGCCACTTGGACACCTCACTGAGGCCTATAAATACCCCTCAAGGGCCACCTCAGAAAGGCAATTGAAATCATCCTAAAGCTCTTTTTTCATTAGTCTAAAAATAGACCCGATTATTGCTGATTTAAGTATCGAAATGTCTATCCCGAGAACCCACCTCAGAGCTTTGCAGGTTCATCCAAAGTGAAGATGCAAACTAAAGAAGGACCTCTGGTTTGGTGCAATTACATGTATATAAAACGAAGATTGCATCGAAGAATACTGAATATAAAAAAATTGATGATGAAACTTTTTTCGTGTGGTATGAGGGAATATTCTTGCTGTTACTGTTATCAGGTCTGAAGGGTGGATTGAAGAAGGCCCAACCCTTGGCCTCAGGAAAAAAAAATAGTAATGCAAAGAATATCTTATATATTATTTATAATGATACGTAATATTATAAATATAAGA